TAAAAAAAATAACTTATTTTTAATTTAGCTTTTGAAAAAATACATGCGGGACGAGCATCGTAATCGAGTTACGTTGTGGACGGCAAGTGCAACTATGCTGCCCGCATGGGAAGTTACAGACAGTGTTGCCATTGGATGAAAATTAAATCAGATAACATGATTTATATTTGAATTAATTTTTTTTAAAATTAGTTTTAAAAAAATTTGTTTGGATTATGATTAAATAAATAATTTAGTTTGTAGAATAATCAAAATACTTATGAAATTTATTAAATAATAAAAAATGATTAAGATTATGAATTTATAAAATATAATAATTTTAAATTATTATAATAGAAAAAAAGTTATATTTAATGGATAAAATATATTTAAACTAGATTAATAGTAACGTGAAAATTTTTAAACTAAATAATATTAATTCTCTGCATAATTTTATATAAATAAAAAATTAAAAATAATATTAAAAATAAAAAATATTATAAAAACTGTTAAAAAATATTTTTAGTTAAAAGAATATCAAAAATAAATAACTAAAAACATATCAGAAAGCACAATGACTACATAGAGAGAAGCATAAGACTAATATAAATATAAAGATAAAAATGTCTTTTAATTTCAAAAGCTCTTTTGTAATCATGCTTAAAAAACAGCTTTTGACCTATAAGTAATATTGGCCAAAAGCTTAAATAAATAGCTCTCAAATTTACAAACTGATTTATCACCCTTATAAACTACTACATTCAGTTTGTAATATAAAAACTAATTAATTAATTTGAGTAGATTACGAAAACTAATTAAATTAGTTATTTGTAATAAATATGTGTTGTCTTTCCTAAAATACCCTTGCTAATCAAGTGTATTGATTAGAACTACCATTATTACAAAAATTATCTTTAAAAAATAATTTTGAAAATTAAAATAAATTAAAATCTTATATTTAAGATTAAAATAAAAAATGAAAAAATTAATATTAAAAACTGGTTGTATTTTTTCCTCCCCTGAAAGGCCTTACCAAACACACACTATATAAGTGTGCGAATCTAGCATGTTACATGTAGCATAAAATTAAATGAGGCGTTATCTTGACTGTGAATTACGGAATTTGGCAGAACGTCTATACTCATTGATATTAATATAAGATTTAGCTAAATAATTTTAAAAAATTAAAAAAACTAAAAAAAATTATTATAAACTATTTATATTATTTATTTTTAAAACTAATTTATCTTATTTATAAATTGATATATAATATAATAATCAATAAGTATTTTAAAAAATTATATAATATATATTACAATTAAGTAATTTAATAAATTTTTTTGAATTATTTAAGTGGATTTTATATGGATATAATAATATATGATGGAATTTTCATGTGTTGTTAACACCTTTCCTTTTAAGTTCGTGCCTGGTGTCGGACAGAGCAACAGGCGGGTTGGGCAGCCCGTCCCCTAACCCGTAACTTGCCCGTTTAAAGTTATATTGGTGCAAGATAGCCCATACCCATAATAAACCTGTTTTGGCCCTTGTAAATGGGCAGAAATAGATGGGCGGGTTAAAACGGGTCATGGGAACCTGTTTAGACACTGCTCCTTTTTTTTTTGCCCCCCTTAAGATATGTGTTAAAATGAAGCAGATAGATAGCCAAGAAGAGAAGTTATGATCTAAGCATAAACAAATAACAAGTCCACAGTAACCATTTTTAGATTCAGTTCTTATTTGGTCTTTGTCTCTAGTCGTTCTCCGACAGCCTGAAAACCTGAGATTTGAGACTGAGAGAGAGTCAAGTTAGGGCTCGACTAGTGAGAGAGTGGGAGAACAGAGAAAACTGAGTGAGTAAGGGTGGAGGAGAGTTGAGTCTTACAGAGGGTGAGCCGATGAGGAGGCTCGATGGTAGGGAAGGAGACGGTGACAGCAATGTTGAGATAAGAGAGAAAGAAGAAGAAAAGAAAAGCGGCATAAAAAAATAGCAGGGGGAAGGAGGAAGGCAGCAAAAAAAAACATGACATGGGTGAAGAAAGGATTAGAGGAACTAGGGAGTGGTGACTGACTGATCGTGATATTGTTGCTCCAAGGAGCCTAGAGAGAAGAGTCGTGCAGCAAAAAGGAGAGGAGTTTGGAAGCTGGAGCTTCTTCATTACTAATAAATCATTAGGGTTTCTTTTTTTGTGTGGTGTTTATGGAAAAAATGAGGCGTGCCGCAAAAGGGAGAGGAGTTTGGAGGCTGGAGCTTCTTCATTACTTATAAATCATTAGGGTTTCTTTTTTTTTTTTGGGTTAAGGTGCGCCCAGTACCCCAAACTATTTTCCCAAATGCACCTAGTGTCCTAAAGTAATTTTCGGTGCATCCAGTGTCCCAAACTAATTAAAACAGTTCATCCATATCCCGAGCTAACAGAAAAGTTATGTTTGACTGTTATTTGCTGACTCAGCTGACGGTTGACCGACGTGGCGGACACGTAGGTATCTTATGTGTATTATTTTGACGGGCCAAGGTGCCCCCAGCACCCTAAACTATTTTTTCAGGTGCGTCCAGTGTCCTAAAATAATTTTTTATGTATCCAATGTCCCAAACTAATTAAAACGGTACGTCCACATCCCAGGCTAACAGAAAAGTCTGGTTTGACTGTTACCTTACTGACTCAGCTGAAGGTTGACCGAAAAATCCTAGATGACGAACACACAAGCATCTAATGTGTATTGTTTTGACTAAAAATTTAATTTATTTCCCCTCTTCTAACATTTATCTTCTGCCAGTTTTAAAACTCAAAAAAAGAAAGACCACCGATCCGCCCTCTTAAATCTTGGTATATGTACCACCCATTCAATCCCATCCTCGTCTTTAAGATTTTATCCCATTTCTTCCACCACACACATCCATCTCCTTCTCTATCAACTCCTCATCCAACTCACGTTTGTTTTTCTCCTCCTAGAACACAGTAAACTTTCCCCTGGTCACTTCGTCGACATTGTCGTCACCTTCCGGAAAAAACACCCGCTGCTACCAGCTCGTCTTGGGAGCTTTAATCGAAATAATACACATCAGACGTCTGTGTTCCCCATTTAGGATTTTTGTGTCAATCTTCAGCTTAGTCAATAAGGTAACGGTCAAACGAGATTTTTTTGTTAGCCTGAGATGTGGACACACCGTTTTAATTAGTTTGGGACACTAGATACACAAAAAATTACTTTAGGACACTGGGCGCACTTGAAAAAATAGTTTGCACCTTGGCCCGTCAAAATAATACACATCAGACGCCTACATGTCCGCCATGTCGGTCAACCTTCGGCTGAGTCAGCAAATAACGGTCAAACTTAACTTTTCTGTTAGCTCGGGATATGGATGCACCGTTTTAATTAGTTTGGAACACTGGATGCACCGAAGATTACTTTAGGACACTGGGTGCACCTGGAAAAATAGTTCGGGGTGCTGGGTGCACCTTAACTTGGAGTAGGTAGGATTCAAACCGAAATCAGTGCATTTAAAAACCACTGCATTTGCCAGGAGATCAAGAGGAGATGACATGATGCGAAATAGAATATCATTATTTTATAAAGAAATGTTTAAGTAAAAAAATAAATACTATACACAAGCGGGCACGGGCAGCCCAGGGTTGTGCCCATAGCTCGCCCATATAATGTATAAGCCCTCCCGTTTAAGCCCGTTTGTTGCGGGTTTTTTTTGGGCGGGCTTAAATAGACAAATTTTTACTGGGTCCGTGCGGGTCCAATGGATTGTGGGTTACTTGCTCAGCCTACTGGTGCATGCTGTTGTCCTTTGCGCGGTTATTTATCCCTACTCCTCTTATTTTATATTACTTTTGGTTTTTAATGTAAAAATTAGTTGAAGTTAGTTACTTGTAATAATTAGGCATTGTTTTTTATAAAATACTCTTATCAGTTACGTATATTAGTTAGAATTATTATTTAATAAAATTTTTAACATGTGCAACTACTACAATGATTATTTTGAAAAAATAGTTAAATGTGAAAGACAAAATAAATTGGGATCTTATATTTAAAATCAAATTAAAAATTAAATTATTTTTTATATTAAGCATAGTGTATTATAATTGGCCGTTTTACTTAAAAAGAAGAAAAACTGCAGACATGTAATGATTTTTTCAAAAAGCAAAGTAGTGTAATATTTCAGGTGAATAAAGGTAAGAAACCTGGGGCACGCGTCTAATCTTTAATCCCGTGTCTCATGTCTGTTACTTTAACTCGTGGGCGAACTAGGAAAGCTCAGATTTGGACGAGCTGATATCCGGTTCGCGTCTAATCTTTGCACCTCGACCGGGCGCCTAACTGGGCGTACCGCCATTTCTTATGTATACGTGAGAAACACTCGGGCTACTTTTCTTTCATTATTTTCTCGCAAGCCAGACTGGTCATCGTCCAATTCGCAGGCCGCAAAAACTAGGCAATCAGTCTCAAACACACCAAATTCAATAATTTGATAAAACGAACTCTCTGAGTTTCTTTTGATGCGGTGAGATCACGAACATCGGAAATTTTTTCTCGAACGCACGATGGCCAAAGAAACGCAATTCCTCGCTCGTCTGGCTGCTAACCACCTCTACCTTGCTCAATTCGAACCCCTGGGAGCTATTCTTCTTGCTCTTTGTAGTCGGAACCGTGACCTAGCTCGCTCTATTTTACAGACCATTGTTGCTCACTCGGGTCGATTCCAGAATACTTTATGGTCACCCTCTTGTTCGTCTCCTGCTCTTCTCACCCACTTAGCGACGATTGAATTGTCACAATTCGATAATGCTTCTTCTGCATGGAACTTCGACTCAGAAACACTGCGGTTACGCGTGGAGTTCTTGTTGTTAGTTCAAAATTTGATTGACCTGTTGTCAGGAAGCACAAGGAAGAGCATAAGCACAGAAAAAGAAAAAGATAATTTGAAGGGCGCAGGAAGTTCGGAGGACCAACGTTGTAAATTGGATGAAGGGGAAGAATTAAGAGATGGAAAAGGTGACTAGGGCCGCTGTATGAGAATTTTGGATAGGATTTTGGAGCTGGGAATGAAGAGGCTGAGGCCAGAAGAGGATGTAGAAATGGATAGGGCTGCGTCTTCGGTTTCTGCCAGTGTTGCTCCTGTCGAAGAAGGAGAGTTGATATGTCTGAGGAGGGTGATTTTGAATCATGCAGATATTTTTTATGCGCTCTGTGGGAATATACATAAGCAAATTAGACTGTGGGAGTGTTACGATCCTGGCTTGGCAACAACAGTGGGAGAAAGTGGCGATGCCCAGGTAGAGTTGTCGGAAGAAGAGGGTGTTAGAATTCTCGGTTTAATACTAAAGACCGTTCAGGTGGTTCATCTGGATGCGATGAAGCAAGTTATGAAAGCGGGTGATCCAGAAGAAGCAGTTTCACACATTAGATTTCTTCATTTTGATCAAGGAGTCGAGGTGTCTGAGTACCGGTGCGTCTATTTTCTATTGCCCTGCTTGGTCGGCATTCATTTCGCACATCTTTGTCTGATATTGATTCCTTTTATTTGATAAGTTGTCCATATTATAAATTTATTCCAATTATAAGTTATGAAGTCTTTTTATGGGGACTGAATGAATGAATTGCGTGTTGAAATACTGGCGATTTTCACGTAACTAGAGTATTATTTGACTAAATCTTTAGTGGATGAACCATTCACGTAATTTGAAAAACTTCTCTGTTTTGCCAAGTATTTTCTCTTTCATTTTGATCGCCCCTGCTCTAGGTTGCACCAAGATGGAGGCATATTATGATGAGACCACGACAAGATATATCTGATATGACAATTTTTACAATTTGAAGATACGAATGCAGGACATATATAAATTAAATTAATGCATGAAAAATTAAAAAAAATGATAGGATATCTATAAACAGGAAAAGTGGCATAAAAACACAAATAAAATTTAAACTGAAGTTTTCAACTCAAATTAGATGTCGTTCCTCATTTCTATTTACTTCACTAAAAATTTTCAGGTTTTTGAGCTGTTTCAAAACATACAATGGTATTTCAAAAGTTTTGAAACATATTAAATAAAGTCAAAAGGACTGGCAATATGGAAGTTGAAGCACGGTACCTCTATTACAGTCAATGTGTATTCGATGCTATAAGTTTAGTTATAAGATTTGATTTATGCCCTCTGTCTCGAGTTTTGTGTGTTTGTCTTGTATGTGCGCATGTGTCTATGTACTCTTCTAATGTTCTTTTATTGTTCTTTGCTGTATTTTGTTATGAGCACTTGCTACATATTTGAATAAGTGATCATGGACTATTCTTGATCTGAATTTCTATTGCAGTTGGGGAACTCTCTTCTCCATTTATTGTCTTCATGCTGCATAGTTCTATTCCTAGATTTTTATATCTGCATGTTCTTTAATGTTTTTTGTAGCATAGTTTTGAAAGACCTCTTCAAGAGTGTTTTATCAAGAAGTGAGAATTTTGGTGATTCTTGGAATGCCATGCGTGACCAACTGCTAATGATTTATGGAGAAGCCCTTTCATCAGATTGCGGAGATATTATTCAAATGATACAGATGCATAGAGGGTTTCTTTGGCATAAATCTTCTTTATGTTGTTTTTAAAGTTGTCTGCAGGTAACATGCTTTATTGCTTTATCTTGCTAAATTGCATCATGGCATTTTTTAATTGCATGAGAAATATACCTTGTTGACATCTTTTGCTGATTTGCTTATCATAGTAGCTTGCAGAAAGAGTCAAAGTGGCACTATTAAACACGTAGAATTCATGTATGAAAAGCCATCGCATAAAAGAGAGACTCAAGAACAACTGAAGCAGTGTCATAAAAAACCTAGAGTTAGAGCATGCAAAATATGAGATCCATTCAATTGAATTCAGGTTGAACTGTGTTTAGATCAGTCAATGAGTAAGAAAGGGAGGGAAAAGAGAGGTGTCAATGTGATTGTCAACTTTCATTGTCAAGTTTTCCGTTTCACTTTACAATAACAAAAGTAAGTCGTCTACAATGGTAGTATAACTAGTATAAGCCCAGCCCAATAGTTGTTTATACACATCATTTAACCTAACTCTCAGACAAATTATATTATGTTGTTAATTTGTTGTTCAAGCAGACTGAAAACTTCTTGAGTTTCAAGAGATGTTCTGTAAACTCGAGAAATTCTTGTAGTGTCTTGATCAAAATGATCCTAAGCCGGTGTTTTAACAATATACATTTTGACCAATGAGTTTATAACATACCAGCCTTTTCTGGAATTAATCATGTTTTCATCTTATAAGGAAAATCTGTCTCTTGCATGTATGAGTTCTTTTTTTAATTTTTAAATAAAAAAAGCTTTATCAGATATCAATCCTTTCCTCAGACCATTCATGATGAGCTGCTGCCTGAAGAGATTGAAGTTTATAGAGCTCAAACTGACAACTTCGTCCCACCTCCTCTCATACGGTTTCTGAGATATTGCGCTGAGGTGAAGCTTCATCAGGATGTAGATGATAAGACATTTTCCCTGAATAAAGTAGTCAATTCTTGCAAGGCAGAAATGTACCATTATGCTCGTGTTTCTGGACTACATGTACTTGAGTGTATCATGGATACTGCCTTGTCTGCTGTGAAGAGAGAGCAACTTGAAGAAGCCAACAATGTATGTGTCCATTTTTGTTAATACACTAGTCTGTTAAGCAGGCACCCCTCCACTTCAGTTTTAAATAGATGAACTACCAATTTAAGTTCTCCTAAACTGCTATATATTCAAGTATAAACTATAAAATATGCGTACTTAATGTATACTGCAGGCTCTCCAGTTGTTTCCCCAGCTACAGCCATTGGTAGCTGCCATGGGGTGGGATTTACTGGCTGGTAAAGTAGCAGCACGGAGGAAATTAATGCAGCTGCTCTGGAAAAGTAAGTCACAAGTAATTCAGCTTGAGGAATCAAATCTTCTTTTTATGGTTATAAATCAGATGAGGTATTTTTCATTTTTATATTTCAGGTTTGCTTTGAGGTACTGGGTATTTTTAGGGGTAAAGTTATTGATAAATATTTTTTACTTCGACAGATGTCCTGTGTGGAACAACTTTGTGACACTTTATGTTATCAGCTTGATCTCGCCTCCTTTGTTGCCTTTGTCAATTCTGGCCGATCTTGGAATTCAAAATTCTCATTAACACTATCTGGAAAAGGACAAATGGCATTGGGAGATGAAGAAGCCTATTCTGACCCTTTCGTTGAGAACTTCGTGTTGGAAAGACTTTCTGTCCAAAGTCCTCTGCGAGTATAATATACCATATATACAGCATTGTGATCTGCAAGCTTGAATTTCTAGATTATCTTCATTTTGAAGGGTTGCCATTGCTTATCAATAATGAATGACGTGAATGGCTTATAATATTTGTCTCTGTATTACTCTTCTCCCTTAATATGTTCTTCCAACAATATGCTTTAATGAATGGATCTTTTTGTTCATCATCATGAACAGTGCTATAGAAAGCAGCGTTTCTGGGGTAGCCTGTCCTCAGTTTCTTCATAAAATAGAAGTGATACTAATTGTAAACACTTATATAATGATGGTTCCAATGGACATATGAGCCAGGTTTATAAGAAAAGACAAGAGAGAGAGTCTACTAAGAAGCCACTCACAGCGAGGAGGCTTTATTTATTGCCCTATGATATTAGAATTATTCAGTTCCATCCATTTATGTTGACCTTTTTGTACTAAAATGGTAAGGTTCCAATCCATTTTAATTTTGGCGCTAGCCTTAAACTCTGGCCTGGTGATTAAGGTTATCATCAGCTCCCCCAAAAAAAAAAAAAAAAAACTACGAAGAACAAGTACTTGATCAAGTGCCATTCAACAATACAGTAATCTTTAGTTTTCTGTTTGATGATGTTGAAAATTATTGTAGACAGGCGCTCCAAACTTAAAATAGTGTTTCATTGCAATTTAGTTTTCTGCTATAATTTGAAAGGAAAGTTATTTGACGAAGTTTTAAGAATTGATATGCTCATTGGAACATTCCAGAATTAATTTGAGATGTTTTTTAATCTTGGAATGGAATGAAAGTTGGTTATTTTCATCATCTTTTATTAGGTGATTCTTTGAAAATATTTTAAGTTATGGTGCTATGCCTGTTTTAGAGGAAGTCATTTCAACAAGAACATCATTAACTAAACCACAAGATTTAGTAGTGGATCAGTATACAGCGACAACCCTTGCCCGTATTTGCATCTACTGTGAAACCCACAAGCACTTCAATTATTTATACAGGTTTCAGGTAATTTTTCTTTTTCATCCTGTATTCATTTAAATATAGAAGCAAGATAAAATTTCTGCTATCGATGCTTCTGTGTATTTCTTTTCACACCTGGAAACTGATCAATGAAGGTTCGAATTGCGTGTTTTTTAAGGACAATGCATGAATTTTATTGCTTTAAATATATGTATAAGCTGACATTTTTAATATCCTGCTTTAAGCTTAGAGATAGCGCAATTGTTGTGGGATTAATTGCAGATTAGAAAATGAATCTGGATAGGTGAAAATAAATTAGGAAATAATTAGATTTGTAAACCATGATAAAAAAATTATCTTAAATAGCGCATTATGGCAAACGAACTTTTGAATACAAGATGCCAAAATAGAAACAGTATATATCCGGAATAAAGTACAATTAATTGCCCAAAAAAAGTATTTTCTCCCCCTCGTTCTCTTTCCTTACATTCAATCACTCTCTTTGGCCTTATTACATATAGTTCGACACCCCATACCATTATTGGAATACTCTGAACCAAAATAGAGGCAGGAGAGCATGAAGAAAGCTCAAATATGGCATGAGCATTGTCCTCCGTGCATGGACAGAGACAAGCTTATTTGCTTAGGTGAGCCTTACAAGCATTTATTTTAATGAAGAGAAATGGTGAGTGATTCGGGTTGTTGGAGATTTCAAATAGAAAGGGTTCTGGGAAAAGGTTCCATGAAGAGAAGTGATAGGTGGAGAACAATTCTAAATTGATTTCCTCAATAATTATTTTACCTCTTTAAGCTCAAAGCAGGAAGTTACATTGATAATATTTGAGAATTGTCATTTTTGGTCCTGCTGCTAATATCAATATGGCTTTGTGCTTTTGGTCATCCTTCTGATGTTGATCCCGATCATTACTTTCCATGTGTGTATCAAATTTGTATTGTAAATTAAAAATGATTGTCGGACTTCTATTTTTCAGCATGGAACATGTTTTCCCAGGACCATAAAATATGGACCATATCGTTAAAATGACCTCTCTAGTCATATAAATTTTATTCCTAAATGTCTTTTGTTTTGATATTTTCTAACTAAACAATCTCCTTTAATTAGTAAACTCGCTGAAAATAATCTTAAAATTTGAAGGTATTAACTGATTTTTTTTATAACTATTTATAATAATTGAAAAGGAGTACAAGCCCTACAAGGGATTGTGATAGGTAACGTGAGCATGACCATCCTATCGGATATTACATCGGCACCCGAGTACATTAATGCACTTATGCACCAATTTACAAATTCATAATAAAAGTTGAAAAAGTATCTGAACAATTAAAAATAGGCTAATTGGCAAAAAAAATAAAAAAAAGATAAACCCATTAAAAAGGGATAAAAGATGAAAAATAAAAGAGGATATTAGTATTGTCAATCTTGAAGTCATTGTAAATCATCCCAAGAAGGAAACAAGTAAACAATTAAACATGACTCCAATAATCAGCCTTTTCTAGCTTTTCGTAGATTATGAACCTGCCAAACGAGGTTATCTTTTTGTCCAGTTACGATATAAACTGCGTAGAACTCATTCTATTACGAAAATCCCTCCCAAGCTCCTTATCATCGTTATTGCCAAAGCCTTCAACAATAACAATCTCTCAATTACGTCAATAATGCATAACAAGGCACCATTACCAATGCCAGTAAGACGGCGTTCGAGTGATGGAATCAGAAAGTGGGCATCAGTTTGAGGCAGCCTGAAACCAGCATTTGGCGCCAACATTCTTGATCACAGTTACCGAAGCCCTAAAAAATATACGTTATAGCTTCCTTTGATCGTAGATATCGGCAAATTCAGCTTCTAAACATAGACTTGGCTATTCTGATTTCTCGATCCTTTACTAAACAAGAACAGAAGGGGTTTTGGTTAGAACTTAGAAGTCAATGATTCACAGTAAGGAACCACTACCGTTGCTAGTTAGAAGGACTGCTGGTGATGAAATCAGAAACTTGGCCTTGGCCTCAGTCTCAAGCGACCTCTTGCCAGCATTTGGCTCCAACATTGTTGATGATAATCGCCTAAACCCAAGAAAATATGTTATCGCTCCCTCTGATCATTGATATCGGTAAAATAAACTCCTTCGCATTGACTTGGCCGTTCTCTGTGTCCTTTCCTATACGAGGGCAGAACTGAAGCTTTTTCCTTCTTTAATGAAGGCTGTGGCAGACATTCCTTGTGGCATTGGTGGCATACTCTGCATGGGCATCTCGGTTCGAGCTGGCTTCCACAGAAGTTGCTGTTGGGTCATTGTGGCCTGTTGATCTACTCGTCGATGCCTTTTTCGTCGTTGATATGGTCCTAACTTTCTTTGTAGCTTACTTGGACAAATCAACCTATCTCCTCGTTGATGACCACGAGAAGATCGCCATCAGGTGTGCGTATGCATGTGTGCGGGCGCGCGCGCTTTGACAATCTATTAAAATATGATGCGAAGGCCTGCATGGGGCAAGTTTGTAATTGAGCCTTCAAATGACACACCAAAAAGCAGTGACAGATACACTTGATTGTATTGTTAGTACTCACAAGATTGTGGCGTCTTCACTTCAACAGGTACATGAGAAAGTTTCATTTTCCCATGAACGTGGCAGCAACTCTGCCTTTTCTGCAGATATGCCAAATCCAAAAGGGCAGAACATATGAAGGCGAAGTCTTTGGCTTCCTAAACATGCTCAGGCTTTGGCGATTAAGGCGTGTCAGCCAACTTTTTGTAAGGTACATTCCTAAAACCGAAGTTAAGAATATTATCAGTTTGATGCTTTGACAGCTAAATTACAAGTGATCAGGATCCATTTGTCCCTACAAAGCATCAGAAGTATTTCCGGAGCACTGAGTGGGGTGTGCACGCGCGCGTGCGAGGAAAAGATCTCCCTAACAGATGACCAAGTCGATCCTCTACCCCTTCTCTACTTCTAAACAAATCAATTCATTAAAACTAGAACCAGTTACTGTCTCCTCAAGCTAACCTTAATCGATGGCCGAATTATTAGTGTATGCGCGTGTCTGTGAGAGGGGGGGGGGACTTCAGAAGCATTTCTGAACAAATTTACCCGGGAAGTACAGAGAAATCGCTCAACTGAACGAGCTCTTGAAAGTAACGAAAACCGGACAGGCTCTCAGGGTGACTATCGGTACCTATTTTCGCAAACGTAATCGAAACAAATTTTTTCTGCAGGCTAGAGAAAGACATACGAATTAGTTACTCGGCCACAAGATTTTGCAAACTTAAATGCGTGAGTGTAGTATCTTCTACACCATCTTTGATCTTAATGATCACCAAGCTGCCTCATTATACAAGTTTACTAATGCTTCAGTTTTCGTTGTTTTATCCACAGACAACGCTATTTGTAGTGCACTTCGCGGGCTGCATGTATTATTGGATGGCTGCCCACAACAAAACACCTGAGAACACGTGGATTGGGAAGCCGGTGCACCTTTTTGAAAACAGGAGCGTCTGGCTAAGATACACGTATTCCGTATATTGGTCTATGGTCACTCTTACCGCTGTGAATATGGGCGAGAAAATATTCACTATTTTATATATGCTATTTAACATCGGCTTCATGATCAGTGCATATATAATTGGAAACATGACAACTCTGGTCGTCCGGGGCACTGTCCGAACTTATACCATGGTACGTTGATCTAAATATCACTCCTTCAATTTTTAATGTAAGACCTAATTAACTAATTTGAATAGAGTTAAAATATTATTTAAATTAGTTAATTTGATATATTTTTTTTCTAAAATACTCTAATCATCTTTTTTAATTTCTTTCCTCGCCTTTCTACTTGGTTATTGTTGAGAGAATATTAATTAAGTTAATTTAACAAAAATTAATAGACATGTAAAATTATAAGATCAATATTAACTCTGAAATGTATGTCCTAATTAAAGACCGTAGGAGTATTATGTCTTATGATTGATGAATGAGAGTCATATTATGTGATTGTTATTGTATGTGTGAATTTCAGCGTACAGTGTGTCA